TGGTTGATTTACTTGGAGCCTATTAAACTTGTTTCTAACACCACTGTAGCTATTGGTGACAAGCTAGGTAAGGACCCTGTCCCAAGGTTCTGAGAGGAAGAACTAGTTATAGACAAAACAAGACAAAACAAAACCAGCCAAACAAAAGACAAGTATATGCACAAGTGAGTAAGATGTGGGTCCTGATAAATACTACAAGGCAAATAGAAGGAAATTATGTAGCAGAGAATGTTGGGCAGTCATTAGGTACAGCCAGTTTGAGGAGGCAACAGCTAAGGAATGCTGAGTGTAGCCATATAATTACTTTGAAAAAGAACATTTAGTAGCAGGGGCAACAGTCTTCTTGAGGTAAGAACAGACATAGCATGGAGGTCAGAGTGGATGGATTAGTGTGAACAAGGCAAGTGAGACATGTAGAAAGGTAGGAAGACAAGACCAGGCAAGACAGGGCCTCACCTCTATCACTCAAGACAACACTTACAGAGAAGTTGAACTGATGCCTAGCAATACACTTCACCCTACTAACATGGTACTTGAAAGTACCCTTCACATTACTAGAAAAGAAATTTAATCAGTATCAATCAGCTGAAAACCTTGTGACCCTCAATAGTCATCAGTTTGAAAGATATACTGATGCAATAATGGCACACATGCTATGAGAGTAACCAACCACTTTACTGGATTTAAGGTGCACTCCATGAGATCAGACCCATAATTGAACCTGCTTAAGTGGCCAAGAAACTGAGACTAGGTAGGTCATGGGCCAAGGGGCAAACATATTCTGCTGAAGGAACATAGCAATGAAATGACTCCTAATGACACACCTATAGATTGCCTCCCTCAACCCTCATCAGAGAAGCTTCTTCTTTCAGTAGATGGTAATTAACACAGAGACCCAACGTCTAGACAATGTGCAGAGAGTAAGAGACTTTGGAACACTCTGTCTAAATGGGATGTTCTCATAAAATCCTGTGATTGCTATTCTTGGGTGTCAACTTGACTACATCTGGGATGAACTATAATCTAGAATTGGAGGGCACAACTATGAGAGTTTTTGCTTGGTTTGAAGTGGGTGGATCCACTTCTAGTATGGACCATTGAGGTAGGAAAACACAGGACTATAATTCAGATCTAGGGCAGGAAGACAGTCTTTAATCTGGGCCACCCTTCTGCTAGCAGCCTATATAAGGAAACAGAAGAAGAAACTTTCTGCTCTTTGTCTGCTTGCTCTTGCCTTGTTAGCAAGTCTATTCCTTCACTTGCATTAGAACCTACTTTTTTGGGATTCCAGCATCTACTGAAGATCAGCTGAGACATCCAGCCTCATGGACTGAGCAATTTCTGGATTCTTGTACTTTCTATTCATATTCAGTCATTGTTTGACTATCTGGACCACAGCCTGTAAATCATTCTAATAAATTATCTTTCTGTATACATAGGAAGAGAATTCATTCTATGGCTTCTGCTACTCCAGAGAACCATGACTAATACAATTCCTTTCCTTCAAAGCACAGAGATCAATGCAGAAGAGGAGTAGACAGATTACAAGATCCAGAGAGGATGGATGACTCCAAGGAAACAGTGTCTTCTAAATACAAAAGGACCAATGTACATATGAACCCACAGAGACCATGGCAGTAAGTACAGGATCTGAGCAGGCTCAACTCCAACAGGGTTCTATCACTGGGACAGGGAAGTGGACACAGGCTTCTCTGTCCCAACCAAGAGAAACTATTTGTAGTTCATAACCTTCTGGTTTTCTCCAATAGAATGTCACTTGGTATATCTACCACACTCCAAATCCAGGAGTATTTGGCCAAAGCAAAATGATATTTTTGTGTCCTTTTGGTTTTGCTTTATTTTGGCAGATTTTGGTCTTCTTGGTCTTTTCACACATTTGCTTTGGTTTTTGTGGGGTTTTTTTTTGTTTCTTGGTTTTGGTCTTTCCTTTTTTGACAGGCAGACAGAGAGAACATAAATTTGGGTGGGTAGGGAGTTTGAGAGAGTCTGGGAGGAATTTGGGGAGGGGAACACATGATAATATATTGTAAAAAATATTATTGGGAAAATGTCAGGGCCGTGTAAAAAATATCCTAGGTGGACATGGTGGTATGTATTTGTAACCCCAGCATGCTAGGAGGCAGAACACTCACAGACTTCAGGCCAGCCTGGGTTACATAGTTAGTTTCAAGCTAGTATAAGCTACATAGTGAGATCCTTTCTTAAAAAAACCATCAAGGTATGGCCTTTGAATTTGATTCTAAGGCTATGGGAGACTTACGTCAGGAAAACTGCTGTACAAAGATCCTTAGTTGCTGCGTGGAGAGTGGCTGTAACAGGCAAGAATGGGAACAGGGAACAGGGAAATGTGTTGGATGTTTAGAGTAATTTGAAGCATCACATTACTGTCATATCAAATGGAAGTGACTGTGTTTGGGAGACATCATGGAGGTAGAGCAGCTTGGACAGTCTGAGGGATTGTCTTACACTATATCATTAACAGACCACTGTGCCATCTTTAAGAGAAATGCATGCTAATCCTTTTTCATTTATGTCGGCTGTCTCACCAACATTAGCCAATCTACCAGTTTCTACCTTCCTTATAGAATCATGAGTTCAGGAGTACCCAGAAGCTGTGCTCTAGGAAGGTGGCTTCCTAAATGGGTAGTTGTGGAAGTATTACTCAGAAGGCACTCTGTAGAAATCAAAAAGCATTCTATTACCCCAGCTCTATGAGTTTAGATTGATGATTCCTCGAGAATTATGAAGAATACCCTACTGGTCATCGTTTATATACCAAAATGAATGCAGCTCTTATTCTGTACTCTAATAGCATTTCACCCTGTTGGAACTAGGTGATTGGATCACCTGCAGGAGTCTACAAACCCAGCTAGCTTTACCAGATTTGGTGTGTGCATTTTGTCATAAGTCTCAAGATAATGTTCCATGGGCTGCAGCCTGCAGGTTGCTTGGCCCATTATTAAGTGGTACACACTCTTTGAAAATATACAGAATAGGAGCAATCACAGTGGGGTTGTTATTCTGGAATATATATTCTTATTATTAATTAAAATTGTTTATTGAATATATATGCATATATATGTATATCATTATGGTTACTTTAACACTTTACTTTCTCTACCCCTATCCTCCTCTGTCAATCACCCTTCCTCCAGACAAATTTGTTTTCAGCATTACTGTCTTTTTTGTTTAGTTTCATGGCCCACTGAATTTATTTATTTATTTATTGAGACAGAGTTTCTCTGTATTGTTTTGGAGGCTGTCCTGGAACTCACTCTGTAGACCAGGCTGGCCTCAAACTCACAGAGATCTGCCTGCCTCTGCCTCCCGAGTGCTGGGATTAAAGGCATGTGCCACCAATGCCCAGCTGACGTACTGAATTTAATTTGAGGCATCTATGTGGCCATGGCTTTGGAACTATTCATTGAAGCATGGCTGGTTCACCAGTACACATGCAATTGAAGACATTGACACTCCTCTTCCAAAATCTGTCTGTAGCCACCAGTTAAACAGTGAGGGCTAGGGCCCTATAAGCTGCCCCCCTCATTCATGACTAACTGTTGACAGTTAAGTCTTGTATGGGCTTAACTGCTGAGAGTTCATGATTTCAATGGCTATGCCATGCCCAGAAAATGGCATCCTACAGCTCTTCTCCATGTCTGTTGTCTTTTGAATTCTTGCTGATTTCTCTTTTGCCTTAATCTCTAAGCCTTAGAGAAGGAGGTATAAATGTCTTATTATGGCATATTTTATTAGTACCTGTAGTGAGATATCCACCCCATCTACACCTGTGCCACTGACCATGCCTATTTGGGGTGGTCACAGATGCAGTCTTTATGGAGGGCAGGACTGGATTTGGGGGTCCCTAACCCCAGCACTCTCTCAGGTCACAGAGAACATCCTGGGTGGATCCTTGAAGCTGGAACCTCTGCCGTAACCCACCTCTTGTGTAAGTGCATTCTCCCTGAATAAAGTTCACTTAACCTGTACTGAGTCTAGTGAATCTTGATTCCCATATAATAAGTATCTTGAATGGCCATGAGTTTCTATATCGACTGTCATTCACTGCAAAGAGAAGCTTCTCTGATAAAAGTTGAGAGGAGCATTTGCTTGTGGGCATAAACACATTCTTGCAAGGTAATTTTATGCTGTTTTATTTTTGCTAAACAATATTAGAAAATTCCTTTCTGGGGTCTCTACCTTCCCCAGTCATGTGCTTGACTGGGTATACAATACTAGGCACAAATTCCCTCATGTTCAGGAGCCCTCAAATCCAATTAGGGTACAGTTGGCCACTCTCATAACAGTCAAGTCACTATCACAAATGATCATGCTTATTAGTTAAGCCTCTGACTTCCAATAAGAATATAGAGAAAGTACCTAAAAAAACTATTCCCTTGTATTGTAATCTGTCAAGTTAGGCATCCTTCCCCTATTTGGGGATGGATCCTAAGGGGTAGCTCAAACCTAAGAGCAGCCACAAGCTCTCACTGCACCTCTTTTTTCCTCTTTGTCTTGTTACCTATGTCTGAAATAAGAGATGGGGCTATCTTGAGGTAGGGCTATCCTGAGGTGGGGGCTATACTGGAAGATCATTATGAATATCAGTGACTACCTCATCCTCTAAACTGTCGTGGAAGTGTCTCCATTTTCCCTTTTTCACTTTGGAGAATGAGATCCTCTGTAGAGCATTTTACACAATTGACAGCTAATAATGGTACCCAAGGGAAGAAGCACAAATGGGAGGGGATCATAGTACTAAATACCATTGTTGCTTGTTAGAAAATGGGCATTCTCAACAACATAGTTCTTATATGAGAGACGTTGTGTAGTTATCTAGTTATACACCTGATGCTGCTGAATGTTGAAGTCTCCAAAAGGCAGGTCCTTGTTTTTCTACTCATCTGGACAGTGTACAACCTATGTACTTCACACCAATTGGAATATTACATACCAATAGAAACACATGTTATACGAACCATTTGTCCTGACTCATCTCAAGCATCCTTTGTATCTGGGAATAAAGAAACATCATCGGTAAGATAAATATTAGATGCCTCTTGGCCAGCAATAAGACAAAAGGAGAGAACTGATCGGAGCAGACCTGGAATCCCCAGCACATGAAGCAGTGGAACCTGTGCTGTCAATGCCTATCAGTGAGGCCATTCCAGGAATAATTCATGAGTGGAAGTTAACTTATTCTGAGTCAAGTGCACAGCTGCAGCGGCACACTTCAAGCTGTACAACTGGTTTGTGCACTAAGAAGAGCCTGACTCTAGGGGAAGTTACATCATGGAATGTTCTTGAGGACCTCGTACCCCTTTGTGATGTATAATAGCTGCGTTGCTCCAGAATTTATGACAAGGAGCATCTGTTGCAGACATTTACACTAAAATATAAATGATGTCTTCCTCCCAGTCCTGGCAATCAAAGGCTGTTTGACTGTTCCATGATACTGCCTGTATCTTCAGCACTCTTTGAGCCTAAACAGAAAAATTCCACAAACACAAATACATTTCTCTTGACAGGATGAATACCAAAATGTAGGTGGGAAGTTCAAGGCTGCCCTTTGAAGTGACAGAAGAAAGATGAAAGAACATGTCCACATTTTGTCTGCTGTTTTCTTCCTTCCTTAATGAACACATGCAATGACTTTCCATTTATTTATACACAGATGCATATTATTTTTCCTTCTCCCTTTAAAGACAAAGGTCTAAAATTGTCATTTTCCATGTCACACCACTCTGAGATGGTTCTGGCCCCTCCCTCTATTTCTGTGCTGATTGACTTCCTGAGCTACAACAAACCAGATGTACACTGAATAGAATGAGTGCCCCTGAATCCGTCTAAACACACCCCTTCCAGAATGGAGACCAGCAGAGGACTGCCTTGTACTACTGGCTCTGGGTGAAAGAGAAGCCCATAAGTGAAAGAATTTCTACTGCTGCTTGTCACATAGATCCAAGGAACAGGCACCTACCTGTCCTGAGTCTGGCAAAGTCTTTGGGTTATATAAACCACCAAACTGGATGCTTTGTCATTGCTGACAAAGCTTCTAGACGTTTATGACCTCTTGGTTGGTCAGATTCTGGGCACAGGGTGCTTGGGCCATCCTTCAGTGACCTTGCAATTTGGTTAGAGAAATTACTTAAATCTAAAAGCAAAACATGGTTAAACATAGGCAAATCCCATACCTAATAGCAATTTAGCCACTCACCCAACCAAAATGCAAATCAAAAGCTAACCTTGAACCAACCACCATTCTACCTACTGTTCCTCCTGTCTTCTTCCTGTGATATAAACAGTTTCTCCCATTCATTAGTGAGGGATGTGGATGGGGACTTGTGGATTCCTTGAGCTGGAGAGTATTAGCACAGTGTGACATGTGCAGAGGATCCTGCTGTAGGTGCAGGGGCATTTTCACAAATCAAAGCACACAGGGAAGGTTTTACAACCAGCTTTCTCAACACCACATTTCCTTCGTGGAAGGGGAAAATGGCTGTATTTAACTTCTGCCTCCTAATCTTAGGTTGACAGAAACCAGGAAACTGCTCAATTTCATGTGTTTACTTCTAAATGCTCCAACTTAGCCAAGTGTCTGGCTGTTCCATTCTGTAAAAGCAGAGTTCTACCATCATGCCTCATATTTCTTTTCTCTCTCACTGTGTTGGCTGATGTTCATGTGTAAAATGCAGGATTTCAACAAATTGCATTCTGATTGACTGACCTGGATTTCTGCTGGGGAGTTCAACAGGAAAGCCAAAGAAATTTGACCAAATTCAATTTCTTGGGCTCTTCTAGTGTTTTTCAGAAGTAGCCTAGACCTGTTTTATTAGAGGAAAGAGGAATATTTGAGAAGAATTGCACAAGCCAAAATCACAGTGAAGAAGGTTTTAAAATTGGATGGAATCTCAGCTTATTTACTCTAAACTTAAAAACAAATTCAATTCATGATCGTCTTTGGACAGTATCCTCTGAGGGCAAGCTACTAAGTTCATAAAGATCACAGACTTTTAAATGAACTGAGTGTGTCTTTTAACTTTGTCTTTATCCTGGTATTTGATAGTTTGAATTTCTCCAGAGTTCAGATTAAGATCTACTGCTGTATTAGGTCTGGAGAGATGTCTCAACAGTTAAGAGCATTCTCTTCCAGATGACCTGGTTTAATTTCCAGTACCCACAGGACAGCTCACAACCATCTATAACTCTAGTTCCAGGGGATCTGATGCTCTTCTTCTGGTCTTCATGGGTACCAGACAGTTGTGTACATAAATGCAGACATACATGCATACAAAATACCCATACACAAACAATAGCAAATTTAAAAGTCTAATGCTGTATTAATAGGTAGGACCTTCAGGAGCTGATGAAGTCATGAAGATTCTAGTCTTGTGAGTGGATTAATGATGTTATTGTGCAGTGGGTTAGGTACTATGAAAATGAATTTCTTTTAAGAGCATACTTGCTCTTGCTCCATCTCTCTTGAAAGTGCTTGTTTGTCCTTCTGCTAAATTATGATGCAGCATGAACATCCTTGATGGATTCCAGCATCATGTTGTTGAACATCCTAGCTTTCAGAACAACGAGAGAAATAGACTCCCATTGTTTACATTACCTGTCTCTGGTGCCCTTGTATAGCAGAAGAAATAGACTAAAACATTATGAATCAGGATGCTAGTAGTCAATGTAAGTTCTATAGATTTCATAATGATTCTCGACAGAGCTGTGGTAACAGTTTTACCGATCAGGAGTTGGTGAAACACAGAGCTTTCTAACCTCCTGGCTGTTTGAGTAGACCCTATTCTGGGCCATCAGCATTTCAGGCTTCCCTGACCACACTGGTTTCTTAAGGTTTTAGATCCAAGCAATCCAATAGTCTTGTTTTCCTGGAGGCTGTTAAGTGTTTCCCCTAATATCAATGCTTTAATGCCCTCCATGTTTTTGAAATCATCTTTTTATTTTATAATTACTTAAATTTGAATGGAAAATACAAAAATATAATTAAGTTCCCATATGTCCTAACCCAAGTCTCCCCTAGTGTTAATATTTAATATTAGTGTGGGCTACTTGCCACAATGACAAGTCAATACTGACACATTATTTATGAAGTCTATACTTTATTTAGGTTTTAACCAAATGTCTTATTTTTTCTGTCCAAGGATCTCACACAGGACACCATTCACTTCTCCTTACCTTCTGTTGCCTATGACAGTTTCTCAGCTTCTCTTGCTTTTGATACTCTTGGCAATTCTGAGGAGTATTGATGGGCATTTTAGTGAAATTCTTCTTCTATTGCTATTTGTTTTGTTTCTTGTCCTCATGACTAGATGGAAGTGGTGTGTTCTCAGGAGGAACACATCAGAGATAAGTATTGTTCACTTCACATTGTGTCAGGGAACATACTCTCAAATTTACCTCTAATTGTTGATGTGAACTTTTATCACCTGACCAAGGGATCATTTGTTGAGCTTCTTCATTCTGTTAGTCTTTCTTCTCTTTTGCTTTCTGCAGAAGAAGCCAACATGACCTACTCAGCAAGTGCTTCATTTCCTTGAAGTTGCAGTGTCTGTTTAAACTATTTGAATTTATTGTTTAATAAAAGGTGTTTGTCTCTTCCCTTTTATTTTAATTATTCAGACATTTATTTACATTATTGTGGACTCATGGATGTTTATTTTATATATCTAGCTTTAATTCAGTACTGGTTTCCATGGTGACTCAAATTGTTTCAATTTTGGCCACTGGTTGCTTTTGTTGACTCTTGTGTGTTTTTGATATTTCACCATCACTGCACAGTGTTGCTTATTATATATTTTCTGAGAACACCTCACTTTTTGGTGGTATATGGTACTACCAGTTAATCTTGTATATTTCCTGCTCTATCCCTTGAGTCAGTCATTTTTCTAAGACACCCTACTTCCCTGTTTGCTTTCAAAGACACACAGAGGAGCCCTCTTTACTTCCAACTGCTTTATTGTGGTCATTTCATAGGTTTCCAATACAGTTAGATACCTTTCATCATATTATGGATTGCATGCTAGGCCCTCCTGACATCTGAGTTTTCAGATTTGCATGACATCCCAACATGTGTGCTATAAGAGTCTGTTGACTTCCTTTATAACAGTGTTGTGCATTCATTGTTAAGCACTGTGGTCTGCTGAAGAATTGTCCTGCGTCCTAAAGATGCTCACATCTTTACCTCTGGAGCAGACAAGTAGATTATTGACTAATATGGTGAAAGAGATCTTGCATATGTGAATAAGGTAAAGATCTTGAGATGGAAGTGTTATCCTGGATTGTATGAATGAATCCAACATAATTGCAAGATCTCTTATAGAAAGAGGCAGACTCAGCACCTGATGTATTACTACATATGGCCTCCAATAGCCATGAAGGCAGGGAAATTGAGTCTAACCTGAAACTTCTCAGCGAAACCTGTGCATGTGACCCTGTCACTCTGTTAATGTTAGTCTTGTAAACCAAGAATCAGAACGGAGTACATTTGTGTTCTTTTAAGTCACTGAGTTTGTGGTCATTAACTTCAGAAGAGATTGGCAGTTAATATAGATTTGTAGAACTTGAAAATGAGATGCTGCTCTGTCCAACAGAACTTTTTTTCTGACTCCATGCTGTTCAACATGGTAAGCCATATGTGTCTTTTGAATTACCAAAATGTTGCTAATACAGCATAGGAAATCTGGATTTTAAATCTTAGTCACAGACAACCAGGGATTGCCACATTGGACCAAATTGTATGGAACATTTCTAATCTCAGCTCTCATGACTTTAATGTTATTCCTAGCCTGGGATTAGCTAATCCCAACCCCTCAACCACACTTAGTCAAAATGCAAGTGTAAGAATGAGAAATAAATTCTTACTGATCTATGCAACTGTGATTTTCAGAGTGATATTCAGTTCCATATGACTAATATACACTTCTGATCAACTCTTCCCACTGCCAAATTCACTGTTGTGAAATATGTATTGTGAAATATATTGCTCATTGGCATCTGATTCATCCGGCAGAATGCAGCTCTAAATATTTATCCTGAATATAATCCCTGTCTTTTCAGCCTACATGTCTCACTGCCATCTCATTCTGCCATGCCTCTGACTCATTTGACATCCAGAGCACTTAAAGATGCAAGACCCACTTTATCTGCTCTTTCCCTCTAATTGGACTCTTATCTGATCCCCACTTCTTGCTTTGTTGATTTCTGCTTGTTCTTTAAAGTCAGCTCAAATGATACCACTGTGCTTCATTCTCCTAAAAACGGCCCATTT